GTCTTTGCAATGTCTGACTCTTTAATCTTCAGCTGATGGTAACCTGATCGTAAATCAATCTTGGAAAATCCACAGGCTCCCCTCAGCTGGTCAAACAAGTCATCAATTCTGGGAAGCGGATATTTATTCTTGATAGTTAACCAGTTGAGATCCTGGTAATCGATACACATGCCATAGAACCGTCCTTCTTCTTGAAAAAAAGAACGGGTGCTCCCTATGGTGAAACACTCAGTCGAATGAAACCGAGTTTCAATAATTCCTGGATTTGAGTCTTAAGCTCTTGCAATTCTTTTGGCGCCATTTGGTAAGATGCTTTGGATACTGGGCCGGCTCCTAGAATAAGATCAATAGAGAACTCTACCTGCCGGTTATGTGGTCCTCCTAGAAGTTGTTCCAGAAACACATCCACAAACTCACGAACAATAGGAACGTCGTGAGGTGTCCGTGCTTTCAATTCATCGCTGACAAGGCTCATAAGATAACCCTGGCAATCGCCTCGTCGTAACATCTTTTTGGCTTTCGCCAATAACATGAGGTAAGGAACGAGTCTTGGTGCCAAAGAAAGTAATATGATCGTCTCCCGGAAGATAAAGAGTAATCTCCCAGTCATGGCATCGAATATCTGCATGAAAATATGTTAGCCAATCCATACCGACAATGAGGTCAAAGTCCCTCATCTTGAGAACATAAGCGTCGGTAGTCAAGATACGACCACCGATAGAAAGGCTAAGATCTGTAGCTTTAGCATCAGTCACTATCTTTCGTCCCGAGGCTAAACTCACCTCGAGAGGATCGACAACGGTAATAGAATGTACTCCGATGGCATCAAGATATCGTCGTGATATAAAAGAGTGAGTTGCTCCAGTATCAAATAGGGTGAAAACAGGAACATCGTTTAGCATAATCATCCCAGACATAGTACCTGGGTATTGTTCCGCCTCGGCCTGGTCTACCGCATAAACACGAGCCTGTTGTCTACCCCTCTGCTGCTGCTAGGGTGGCCTCGGGGCCTATTATCTGGACTGCTGCTGTTGTGGCTGCTGTGGTGGTTGTTGTCGTGGTTGCAGTCGCTCTGGGCAGTTGCTGACGAAATGTCCGTGCTGGTGATAGTAATAACAAATGTCCTGACCGAAATGACACTATCCACGATGGGGTCGTCCACAGGTAGTTCATGGTGGAATCTGCTGCGGTTTGGCTGCACCTGGCTGTCTCGGACGTATCCTCCTATCGGTCTGAAAGCCTTTCCCCTTTTTCTTCGTGTCCTTCGGTTGTTGGGCAGCAGCTGGTTGAATAGGTGGTATTGAGGATGATTGGGCAGGGGCAAATGGCTGAAGACGATCATGGTTAGCCTCCCTTCGGATGCTGGCGTCAACTTCCTGGGCTATGGTGACAGTATGGGCATAGGTCTGGACGCCGTGACCTACAATATTATGACGGACTGCTGGCAAAAGCCCGTCAGTGAAACGTCTCGATCTCTTTGCCTCTGTGCTCACCAGATCGGGAACAAAGGCTCCAAGTCGAGTGAATTCTCGCTCATACTCGTCTACTGAATGAGTACCTTGTTTAAGCGCCAGAAATTGACGCTCCATTTCTGCTCGATAGTACGCGGGATAATATTTCTCGCGAATTAAATCCTTGAACTTGTCCCACGTACAACCTTCATTTTCGCCGGGACACATTCCCTAGTAGGCATTCCACCAGAGACGTGCGTCACCCGTCAATTGGATCTGTGCGCATAGAACACAATAGCGGTTTGGACAATCCATGACCTCGAAAATCATTTCAAGGCCCTGGACCCATTCGTCCACGATTCGGGGATCTCCCTGGCCAGAAAATTTCTCTGGATGGTAGTCACGAAATTGAGCGACTACGGTGGCCTAGGGGACCTCCTGCTGATCTGGATCTCTACGTGGCGACATCTGAATATTGGAAACGTTTGACATGATTATACATAGGGATATAACATAACATGATACATTAACAGAGTGATAAGACACACAAATTTCTTGACGAGTCGTTAACTTGGCCCAAAAATATTGACATTGAATCATGGATATACTGGACTATAAATCCTGAACATAACTCGAGCATCCTAACTAAGTCATAACTGTGGGTTTTACTGAGCATAGACATAGTCATTTGTTTACCATTTAAAACATAAATCAACACTTACCTGTAGTTGGCGAGGCGTGAGCGTGACGTGGTCGGGTTTTATAAAAATTTTTTACTCGTAAAAGTATTCAGAGACGCAGAAACGTGCTCTGATACCAACTGTAACACCCCGCTTTTCCATAAATATCAGAGTTAAATTTTCGCAAAATCTTTTCTTAAACATACTTTTTAGTTGCGAAATCGTGACTCGGAGTGTAATATCCCGTTAGTTTATTAATATAAATCATGTATTAGTTCCGATATAATAATATTGTCAGTTATTATATTTCGGAATTAATTATTTTCTGTCAAGATTACCGGAAATTATTTTCGACGTTCCGTTTATGTTCGGAATAATTTTTGTAATTAAGTATTATGCTTAATAAATAATTAAGCATATAATTATGTTTAATTGTGCTTAACTAAGCTAATGCCGTGAGTAGTGGGAAATTGTGAGATTTTCCTTGTTAATCCTTCAAAAGCCGTAAGTATTTATTCATTTTTTTTGTCCAAATTATGCTCACAGGCCGTAGCCGATTCTTCCAAGTGAAGGAAGCAATTATTCCTCACCCTTAAGCACCCATACGTGGCATTAGGAGGAGAATTTGAGGATGATTAGTCATCCCTTCATTCCTTAATTTATCTCCAAGTGGCAAGATTAGAATTAAGCAACAAGGCAAGACATCATCTTGTTCCCCTCACGGTTCAAGTATAAAAGGGGTGTTTGGGACCAATTTTTCCCATCTCCTTCAGCCCTATATTAGTATATTGTGAGTGAGAGTTAGAAAGCCTTGAGAAATTTTCTCCAAATTTATATCGCACGCTTAGCTATCGCACGCGCACGGCATCGCACCGCACGCAAGAGAGTCGTCACGCACGGAAGCCCGACTATTCCGATCAGTTGTTACGCTCAGTTAGTTGTTTGAAGAGGTAATTTTATTACCTTAAGTTATTCATGATATAAGCATGTTAGCTTTGAGTTATGTGTGTTCATAACACGGCCTTAGCCGTTCGGCCATGTGAATGCATCACGGGTATGTTCATGCTTTAAGTTAACGTCTCTCGAGCGAAAATCATGAAGTCAGCCTTTTCATGTTATATCATGTTTATTCAGTTTACGTTGTTCGGAAGAATGTTCATGGTAGCTCGGTAATTCGGTCATGGGATGTGGTCGCGCATGTAGCGCACCACGGGCCGTACATGTGTGTGTGTCAAGTAGGTTAAGTTTAAGTCTTTCGAACACATCATGCTATCTTATTCAGTAAATTACATTTCATGTTCAGTTGAGTTAGTGTTGCTGAGAGAAAAGTGGGTTGGGTCGAGAGACGGCCTAACGCCGTTGGCGGCGCATGATGCGCTCGCCACGGCCATGTTCAGTTTATCGTGCAAATTTCATGTTTTCAGGTTAATTTAGTAGTCATGTTCATGCCATGTCAAATTATGTTATTTGAAATTGATTTGGTCGAGAGTTGTTGTCGGAC